TGAGGACTTTGCAGGAGAGGGCAAAGCTCAGAACTGTGGTTCATAGGGTTGCGATGAGGTGAAGTCCACAACGGCACCCAACAACAGCTGTGTTACTTATTAGAGGACAGCTGGAGGAGGGTAATTAGTCCTGGTTGAGTCTTGAGCCCAGGCCTGGACCAGTGTGGAGGAAGCGAGATTGACCTCCCCCACCAGAACTGACGAGGTGTTTTACAGGAGCAGTTTGCGGAGTGTTATGTTGCAGATCTCTTCCTAATCTTTGCCAAGACATTTTAGCTAAATTTGTGCTACCGTAGATCAGATGTCACTAAACGACAAGGCTGGGGGGCCATTGAATGAGTTCACGGCCACCAATGCCACGGTGTTGGGTTTGTTTAAATAACTAGGCCATTAAAACCTGCTGAACTAGAGCTGTCCTAATTCATTCCCTAGGTTTGCACCCGCATTGACATTATTTGTCAGTTCTGGTCATTGCTTTTTGCTGCTGGGGACATGATCTTTAGACATTCTCTGTGTACAAAGGGAGATTGTTGCTGGTTGCTGCTAAATTGATTCTGATGTATAACAACCCATGTACATAGAGTAGAATTGCCACAGACGTGATTGTGTGCCCTCTCCGAAGCAGATCACCAGGCATTTCTTCTGTGGCACCTCTGGATTGGTTCGGAACATCACAATTTGCCAGTAGTCCAGGGCTTAATTGTTTATATTGCTAGGGACTCTACCAGGAGATTGTTGTTGTGTTCTATGGAGTCGGAACTGACCCAGCTTTCAGAGACAGTAAATTGCTTGGGAGGAGGTTGTCCATTCTTTGCCTATAGAGTGGCTGGTGAACTGCTTGCCTTTGGAATTGCAGTTGAAATGTAATCCCAGGCTTAAAGGCTAAGAAGTCCTTGTTCAGAAATTAGCTTAGAAGAACTGAGAGAGTATTGAAAATGGAAGTGTTCTGGTGTGGAAGTGGCCAGTTCTCTGAAGAATTGGGTCAGGAACTGTCCTCTGCATTGGGGAACAAAGACAACTGATTGTGTGGTCAGAGACCAAGATGATTTATCTAGTCTGGCCACGGACAGTGTTGCCAGCTCCTGCTTCCAAGCTCTCTTGGTTTCCTCTTTCCCTTACTCTCCCACGCTGGTCCCAATTCCTTCTTTATTGACTTGACACAAGAGAGTTCCTGCTGGTAAGGGGCACAGCTTGCACATGTCTAGTCTCAAAAAAATTGGAAAGAATTGCTTAAAAAATTAATATCTTTGGGCTCCTCCCAACTCCCTATGTGAATCTCTGGAAGATGGGCCTGGGGCTTCATGTACTTCCTTCCTCACATTTCCCTGTGTGTTTGTTTTTAAATAATATTTTATTATGTTTTCAGTGAAGATTCACAAAGTGTAGGTTCCCATTCAGTAATTTCTATACACACCGTTCAGTGACATTGGTTAATTTCTTTGCATGAACACTCATGCAAAGAGTGTGTGTCTGTCTCTGTGTCTCTGTGTGTCTGTGTCTCTGTCTGTCTGTGTGTGTATGTGTCTGTGTCTGTGTCTGTGGTGTGTGTGTCTGTGTCTGTCTTTGTGTGTCTGTGTGTTTGTGTGTGTGTCTGTGACTGTTCTAGTTGTTCAGTTTCCATGAATCTAGTTTCCCTGCTCCCTTATAGTCTAATCTTTGCTTTAAAGTAATTGCTGTTTGATCTCAAGTAGGCTTTTATTTTCTAAGGACACAGTACTTACAGATGATGTTGCTGTTGATTGCTGTCAAGTCGAGCATGACTCATAGGCCTGAAGCCCCTCTACAACTATCGACATTTATCAAAGTTCATAGAGTTTCCAGAGGCAGGTTGTTTAGGAAGTGGACGCCACTTCTGATAGTCATTATTTTTCTAATGAATTTGTTACCTAGCCATAAGATGACTCTGGAGTAAGCTTAGGTTCAA